AACTATATCAGTTCTCATGTATAGAACCAAATACACAATGTGCTTGCATACTTCTCACGCAAATGTGAAAACAAAGTGTGCGCCAGACATACTGCCTCACACGCCTGTACTCACGCCTTTGTGAATGAGTTACCCTTTATGTATAGAACTAAACAAATAATGTAATTGAAATACTGTGTAACATTCAGTGCCATAATATCCTTACAACGGTGGTTAATTACACTGGTCTACAAAAAAATATTTTTTTTTCTGGCATGAAACCTTTTAACTGTTTTTTACTAACTTTAAGGTGCTGAATCCAAATCTGATCTCAGATTTGCTCCATCACGTAACGTGCCAGAATTTACTGAGCTACCAGAGATTGAGGATATAGACCGGAATTCACCTGTTTCTACTGATGAAGATGAAGAGACTGATCTTTTCAAGCCATCTGGTGAAGATTGTGAAAAGCCAACGTTGTTTACTCAGTCAGAATTGAATGATCTGGTCAGAGATCTAAATTTGCCAAAACAGTCTGCTGAATTGTTAGCTTCCAGGCTTCAAGAGAAACGACTCTTAAAACCTGGCACGAGTGTCTCCTTTTATCGCAACAGAGAAGAGCAACTGCGGAAGTACTTTCATTCATATGACCAGCTTGTTTTTTGTAATGATGTAGAAGGACTTCTTCTCTCCATGGGACTACCAGCATATGATAGTAAGGATTGGAGACTTTTTATTGACAGTTCTAAAAGGAGCTTGAAATGTGTTCTTCTTCATAACGGAAACAAGTATGGTTCAATTCCAATCGGACATTCTGTACAAATTAAAGAAGAGTATGAAAACATTAAGACTGTTCTAGAGAGGTTGCAATACCATGCTCATGAATGGTTAATTTGTGTGGACTTGAAAATGGTAAACTTTCTATTGGGCCAGCAAGGAGGGTACACAAAATACCCCTGTTTTCTGTGCTACTGGGACAGCAGGGCTACAGCAGACCATTGGGTGAAAAAGAATTGGCCACCAAGACATAGTTTGACGCCTGGTGACAAGAATATCATTAACGATCCTCTGGTTGACAGGAAAAACATTGTCCTTCCTCCTCTGCACATAAAACTTGGTATCATGAAGCAATTCGTCAAGGCTCTTGATCATAGTGGAGAGTGTTTCAGATATATATGCTCAACCTTTCCAAGTCTTAGCGACGAGAAGAAAAAGGCAGGGATTTTTGATGGACCTCAAATAAGAACACTACTCAGAGATCCACACTTCCTTGCAACAATGACTGAGGCACAGGCAAGAACTTGGAATGCTTTCTCTAATGTGGTACGGAACTTCTTAGGGAACAAGAAAGCGGACAACTATCAAGAAATTGTGGAAGAGCTGCTCTTGAGTTTACAAGCACTTGGATGCAGAATGAGTATCAAGGTTCACTACTTACACAGTCACTTGGACGAGTTTCCAGAAAATCTGGGAGAAGTGAGCGAGGAGCAAGGGGAGCGCTTTCATCAAGACATTAAAGTAATGGAAGAACGTTACCAAGGTCGATGGGACTCGAACATGATGGCGGACTACTGCTGGAGTTTGATGAGAGACATTCCAGAAGCTGTACATAAGAGATCGGCCAAAAAGAGGAAGTTTATGTAACTGTAACTTGATCTTAATACTTGCACTATTTCTACCGTACATTAATTGGTTTTTTTCACCCTTCAATGTTACATTTAAATATTATATGTGCATTAACTTTCCAATTTGATATTAACAATTTTTGGTTATAGAAAAATACAAATTATAATGCTGAAAAAATTTATGTATACATGTTTAAACCGTCAATTTTGATCCAAAAGTTTACGTTTCCCAGCAAAAGTGCAATATGGTATATCTCAAAAACCTGATGTGATAGACAAAAACCAAAGTCATATTTGGATTCTGCACCCCAAATTTACTTAAAATCCGTTTAAAAACCTTGTGCCAGAAAAATTGTGTTGACCGGTGTATGACCCGTTGTAAACTCTACTCTGCAATTCTTTAGCCATAGAAGTTGTCAATGAATGGGAGTGATATTGACTTGCAATATTATTCAAGACGGCCGTTGACACCAATTGCCCTTGACAACCATTCACTACCAACTCCTCTTCTAGGCAAGACGCCACATACTATCGGGATCCCTCCCCTATCTCTAACCTTCCCCAGCGCCTCCCTATACCTCTTGAAAAGTTCCTCACTCCTAACCTTTCCTATGTCGTCACCTCCTATACTAAGACACACTATTGGCTTGGTACCCTCCCCTGACAAAACCCTATCTATCCTCTCAGCTACATGCCCTATCCCAGCCCCAGGAAAACACACCCTTGTCCTACATTTCTTATCTCTTGCACAAAAAGTCCTATCTAAGAACCTCACCTGGCTGTCCCCAAAAACCACGACCTTACCACTGGGCAGGGTTTGAACAACTGCCCCTTTCTCTCCTGGCACCATACCGTCCTGCCTCTTCTTCTCCTCGCCAGCTTCCTCCAACACTTGGTAGGGGTTACTGCATTCCACACCCTGCTCAACTTTCCTGATTTTGACCCTAGTCCCCTTGGAGACAACCACTCTCCACGCCTGCTCCTACTGACCCTTCTTCGCAGGACACCTGCGAAGGAGGACTTTCCTCATACACCGTCCCTCTTTCCCCACAACACAATGATCCACGGCAGCCATTTCCTATGGTCACTAACACGAGCACTTTGGGCACGTCCTTCTCCAAGCTAGGTCAGGTAGTGTCTGTAGTGCTTTTGCATCCTTCCCTGAATTAATCTGCCGCCCTATTTTGGTGTCATCCGCAAACTTGCTTATGTCACTATTGATCCCAGTATCTAGATCGTTTATGCAGATTATGAACAAGAGTGGGCCCAGTACTAACCCCTGGGGAACCCCACTAGTAACACAGCCCCATTCAGAATTAAAAGCATTTTACGCTGACCCTCTGTGTTCTATCAGTGAGCGATGATTTTACCCAGTTTAAGACTTTCCTCTCGATACCATGAGTGTAAAGACCTGAGACTTTGAGAAATAAATCCCTTGCCAGCCTAATCAGGATCTTATAAGAGGAAAGTCAAGAACCATGGTTTTCCGAGGGATAACAAACAACCGTTAGAGATTGACATCTCTTTACGACGAAAAATAAGCACAATAACTGACACTACTCACACAAATTCAAGCATTCAACATGAATTTGAGTAATGGCATGTACAAACTGGACAATTTTGTAATTAAGAAGATTTGTAACCAGGTGAGAAGGTTGGGTCTCCTTACCCTCTGACCTGACTACCGACCGTTGCCGTGCTATTTAAAGATTAGTAGGGTCATTACCTAATACCTGACCAGTGTGGACCTGGTCTCACCCTCCTCTGTATATATACACCTTGTTTTGTACTTCTCTTTAGTCTGTACTCACCCCTGAAGGTGGCAATTACACTAAAGCGCTTGGGAACTTCGTGTTTTCTTCTTTCCTTGTGGTTATCAGCATATATATATATATATATATATATATATATATATATATATATATATATATATATATATATATATATATATATATATATATATATATATATATATATATATATATATATATATATATAATGTGTGAATAAAGAAATCTGATATTTGATAGGGAGGTTTTTGTGGCCCAAGGAATGGTCGTGCACCATCTCCCATCCCTCCCCAAAGTGCGAATTGCCCAAACAGTGACCGAAAAAGAAGACAATAAAAAGCGCCAGAAAAAAAAATCACGATTTTGGGCAGGTTAGTTTAGGTTCGGTAACTTTTTTCGTTTGTTTCTGTTTAAAAGGGTCCTTTTATAGTGGAATTAACAACATTACACCTTTGTTGTGAAATTCTTACTAAATTAGATCAGAATATAAACTTGAGAAACATATCCAAATTAACGTAATTAGAGTACTTTACCAATATCATTGTTGTTGTTACTTAAAGAATCTGCCCAATCTGAACAGGAGCGAGACAGGATATATTTTTAGAAACTTCGGGAATTTTATCACAGTGGTCCTTCATACATCCAATAAAATCAAGATTTTTTTTCATTGTTTCCATTGTGTGCTGTAGATTTCTCAGTTATTAATGTGGTACTTGTTTTACACTTGTTACCTTTGTTAGAAATCTTGCATTTCACCGTGTTGCATTCACGAACTGTAGCTTACATTTTAAAATTTTGGCTGAGTATTTGTTTCAGTCTTATTGTCTTGAACTATTTTGTTTTTTTACTATTTCTTGCTTTTGTCTTGATTTTAATGAACATATATCTTCTTGATAATCTTCTGAAGTCTACCTCACATCTACCACTATCTTCTGCTCTCTCTCTCTCTCTCTTAGATTATCTCTTAATTTGTTGTTTGGGTCTATTTTCTTTACTGCTATATAAAGCCCGAAGGAGACTATTCTACATTTTTCTTCTGTTGTGCACTATCTGCATTTATCACGTCCCCTTTTATTACACGATTAGGCATCTTTTTTTACTTTTAGAACAGCAGTGAAAATACCTTAAGTTATGGACTGAGATATGGGAGAATGTCCATTCCTTGTTTTAATTTGATTTATGCTCAAAGAACAAAACATTACTCACTTTAATTTATGTGTGTGAAAAATCTCACCTGTTGCAGGTTATCATTTTATTAACCCTTATTTCTGCCATTTTTTAAAGACCTAAGAATTTCACTCACTCAAAGTGTCATTTAATATTTGTAAGTATTTCTATATATTTTTATTTTTTCTAATGCTTCCACAGTTTATTCCACGGATTCTTCGTGTGCCTCCTTTGACTACCTTAGCTCAGATGGTGAATGGAAGTTACAAGACTGTGAATTTCCGAAAACTTACATTTGTAAGAAGGTTCAAGAAGCAAGACCAATTAACCCATCCAATAAGGGATGTAATGCGGTAAGACTTATTTTATAATTATGGTTGAAGATAAATTATCTGGTGAGGAAGGCAGTACCACTAACCATTATTATATTTGTATAGCATTATCTGGTGAGGAAGACAGTCCCACTAACCACTATCTGGTGAGGAAGGCAGTATAGTACAGCGGCATTGCCAAACAATTGTACTATTTATGATGAAAGCATTAACTTTGGCACAGATATAGAGTAAAACTTGGTGAATATTTTCAGATATGGAACCACTAGAAACTCAACCTCTGTGGGCGTTATATTGAATTTCAAGATGGCCGCCGTTCAGGATACGCTAAACTATGTATTTCTGTTTTTACGGTTGCATATTTCATTCCAATGCATCAATATACATAATCCGGGTTACGAAAATCATTTGTGATAGTTTTCGAAGTTTATTACAATGAAAAAGACAAGTAAAAGTATTACACTGGAAAATTAACATACAAATTTTCCGAAGTCCCAAAACTTAAAAAAGAATTCTGAACATTCGGCTATTGAGGCCGAATCTCTGTAGATATTTGGCTTAACAGCCACCTTCACATGCACAAAGGTCAGTGCATTTAAGTGCAGCTTTTTTGCACCTACACTTGCCACCGCAGTGTTTTCTGCAACCGCAAGAGATGAGCTCGTGGCATGACTGACACTTCAGAGAGTGTGGTCCAGAGTGGCTCCAGCTCATCACCCGACTTCATCCAACCCCAGTCACATGGTGATGGCAAACTGACAAACGCTATTGTGGCCTGTCCCCAGATATGTCCAGCCTGATAAGCAGCTCTCTTTATGTGCTGCTCCAGAGCTGCTCGTGTTGGTGGGAGATCCTCCAGTGATCTTGATTTTCTTGAAAACAGTTTCTTTCTCAGCACGTTCACGTCACAGCATGTGCTCGTACTGTCATAGAGCAGCACGATGAATCTCTCCTGTGTCGACAGGACACCATCAGGCAGCTCACTTGGGGTGGAAGCCAGACTGAGGAAGGCGGTTGTCACTTCCGGAAATGCATTCCATGTGGCCCAGGCTGTCTTCTTGCTATGACCTGCAAAGGCAGATACCGTGTCGCAGCCGTTATTGCGTGAAACACTGGAAGAGCTCTCGACTTCTCAGGTCCCAGAGCCTTTGCAATCTGATGTGCTGCTACGTAACGTCGATTCTTTCCTGTGCCAAAAGTAAGCCATAGTTCATCTAGTACCTCACTCCGTTCATTCGCTAGAGAAACTGCAAGGATGACAACATCTGCATCGACGGTACGAATGAGTATTCGCCGATGACTGCATTCCAAGGCATCAGCTGCATGAACCATCATCCTCTTCGTGGTTGCATGGTGCCAAGTTGGCAGTGTCCTTCCGGGGTGAAACAGTGAGTACCTGTTTATTGTCTCTGACAACCAGCTGTTTACTTTCTTTGACAACCAACTGCATAACCTGTTCTGAGAGGAAACTGAAGAGTTTCTCTTTGTTGTCACTGTTGCGGAGAAAGTTTTGCCAGTTGCTAGGTAGAGGACCAGAGGCAGTGACACGTCTTCGAATGCCCTTGCCACGGTTACATCTTACTGTTGCTTTTAGGCTCCCAGATTTCAGGTAGCAATCCCATACCAGGTCAAGTCGAGATCGATATTCGAGCTGTGATTCAATATTGGAAATGAATACAACTGTGCTGTATTCTTGAAATGTCCTACTGCCTCCTGGCTTCAACATTTCCACAACGGTATGTCCATCGAGTATAATTGAGGTGACATGTGGAGCGTCAGTGATCTTGTCAGCAAGCTGTTCAAGGGGTGTGAGTAAGTCGGTCTTCTTGCTGAAGCGGAGTTTCCCATTACTGGAGAGTGCTGGTTGATAGGCCCGGTTTTCATGCTTGAAGAATTCGTCCAAATCACCCTCTCTTGTTTGACAGGCTATGTAGAGCCTGGAGAAGAGTCCACAGTCGTCTTTTGCGAAGTCTAGTTGCTGCTTACTCCTAGTTGGAGACTTGGATTTCATAGAACTGAATAGTGTTAGCTTGTAGAGCTTAACAGTGTCACCAATAGGCTTACACTTGTCTTCAAGGCGTTCTCTTACATATGAATGGAATTGTTCTCATCCAAGCTTGACAACATTTTGTACACTCTTCACGGCTTCTGGACACAAGATTTCCTTTGTATGAAGAACCATTAGGTCAGCAGTTTCTTCTTCAAATGGGTTTCTCATTTCTTCCATGACAAGTGTAAGTGCTTTCACAGCTTGAAGAAACTTGTCCTGCGTCGTGTTGGTTTGCTCATGATGGTGGAAGTTAGCCTTGGTTTCCTCAGCTTTCTGCGATGATTCAAATTCAGCAATGACCCGTGCTACTTCTGGAGCTGCAACCATCCACCGTCGAAGTGCACTAGGGTTTCCAGTCAAACCGACTGCACCACCATCATCTTTGATGCAGGCATTGTTCTGCTCATGTGCCTGGTCTAGTGACATTGCAGAAAAACGGCGGGCTGTCTTTTTTGCAGTGAAATGTCCAGCTTAAAACTTTGCAGAAACATCAGGATGCTTGTCCGCGAGCTATGTCATGTCCTTCAGGTGGACTGGAACCCACCGAGAATAATGAGTATGATCCAAGGCGAAGAACCACTGACACAGTTCAGCCAGAGCATCCATGTATAGCGAGAAGTTTGATTCTCGTAGTGATCTAACAAACATAAAGATACTTAGCTCTAGGTTGAGGGTGGTTGCCCAGTACTGAAACTGGGGACAACATTCAGCCCTTTGATGACACCAGACACCAAACTCTAGGGGCTCATGACCATCACTTTGGGCATCTTCAGTGTATTTGCCATAAGCCTTGTGCTGTAGGATGTTCAGGGTTGCTGCTGTTATCTGATGGCCTCGCCTGGTGCGTGTGACGTGAACAGCCTTTATGAAAGAGCTTGCAGTTCCTGGGCTGGCAATATCGGCTTGCACTAGGGTTTCTGACCACCTGCAACCAACTGCCTGCCATCATCAGAGTCACCATTTCAATGTGGAAACCGCCCAGAATCATAATAAATTTCTCTTCGCCGTAATTTGCGGGCCAATTCCACTGAATCTGTTTGGCCACCAGTTGACGTATTATGGGTTCATCGAATGCCTCTGAACCCCCTTTTCTTTCTTCCTATTGCCTATTATTTTCCTATGCTTCGCAGTATTAGATAGTCTCACAGGACTGAGACAGTAACGTGGTGTAACCTGAATTTTTTTCCTGAAACCGCCCCTGACTTATAGCGGCCATTTAAATCCAGTATCGAGTGGTTCCATATCTGAAAATGTTCATATACCATTACTCCATCGCTGTGCCAAATTTGGCGCTTTCATCATTAAATGCACAATTGTTATGAAAATTGTAGCTATGCCGTTCCACTAGTACCACTAACCATTATCATATTTGTATAGCATTATCTGATGAGGAAGGCAGTACCACTAACCATTATTTTATTTGTATAGCATTATCTGGTGAGGAAGGCAGTACCACTAACCATTATTATATTTGTATAGCATTATCTGGTGAGGAAGGCAGTACCACTAACCATTATTATATTTGTATAGCATTATCTGGTGAGGAGGACAGTACTACTAACCATTATCACATTTGGTCTTTCTTTAAGTATGATTACAAATAAGGACTTGCGAAAATAGGATAACTTTTCTTCTCAGGTATATGTTAATAGTCATAGATTTCATCTAAATAGCGGAGTGTGGTCCAGAGTAGTATTTTAACACCTAGGTGGTCCCCAGTCATATTATCACTTAAGGTGGTCCTCAGTAATAATATCACCTAGGTGGTTCTCAGTAATATTATCACCTAGGTGGTCCTCAGTAATATTATCACCTAGGTGGTCCTCAGTAATATTATCACCTAGGTGGTTCTCAGTAATATTATCACCTAGGTGGTCCTCAGTAATATTATCACCTTGGTGGTTCTCAGTAATATTATCACCAAGGTGGTACTCTGTAATATTATCACCTTGGTGGTTCTCAGTAATATTATCACCTTGGTGGTTCTCAGTAATATTATCACCTAAGGTGGTCCTCAGTAATATTATCACCTAGGTGGTCCTCAGTAATATTATCACCTAGGTGGTCCTCAGTAATATTATCACCTTGGTGGTTCTCAGTAATATTATCACCTTTGTGGTCCTCAGTAATATTATCACCTTGGTGGTTCTCAGTAATATTATCACCTAGGTGGTCCTCAGTAATATTATCACCTAGGTGGTCCTCAGTAACATTATCACCTAGGTGGTCCTCAGTAATATTATCACCTTGGTAGTTCTCAGTAATAATATCACATTGGTGGTCCTCAGTAATATTATCACCTTGGTGGTTCTCAGTAATATTATCACGTTGGTGATCCTCAGTAGTATTATGACCTTGGTGGTTCTCAGTAATATTATCACCTAGGTGGTCCTCAGTAATATTATCACGTTGGTGGTCCTGAGCAAAACTATCACCTTGGTGGTCCTCAGTAATATTATCACCTACGTGGTCGTCAGTAATATTATCGCCTTGGTGATCCTCAGTAATATCTGAATGCCTTTGTGGTCCTCGGTAACATATCTATACCTTGGTGGTCCTCAGTAATATTTTAACACCCAAGGAAGTCAGACACTACTGAGGACCACCAAGGTATAGATATATTAGTGAGGACCACCAAGGTATAGATATGTTACTAAGGACCACCAGGGTATTGATATATTACTGAGGACCACCAAGGTATAGATATATTACTGATGACCACCAGGCTAATGATATATTATTGAAAACCACCAGGAAATTGATATATTACTGAGGACCAAAAAGGTATAGATATGTTACTAAGGACCACCAAGGTATAGATATGTTACTGAGGACCACCAGGGTATAGATATGTTACTGAGGACCACCAGGGTATTGATATATTACTGAGGACCACCAAGGTATAGATATATTAGTGAGGACCACCAAGGTATAAATATGTTACTGAGGAGAACCAGGGTATTGATATATT